TGAGGTATTATTAATACAATTGCAAGTATGTATACACTTTAATTGCTAAAAAGGTTTATTTTCACACAAAAAATTATAAGTATATTACCACAAAACACTTAAAAATATATTAAATCAGGATTACTAAAAGAAGCTGTGCCTGTCAACGCTGTCTAGGGCTCACGCTGAGCTATCTAAAACGTAGTAATTTCACGCTCTGATTCTTAACACAGCTGGTGTACTTGTCGAGCCGGTCAACTATCAATACAATACCCTTTCACAAGTTTGAATGGGACCTCTTTCGGAGCACTTAACCAGGCTTACACTGCGGTACTTACCTACTTAAAAGCGGGCCTATTTTTAACGAGACATTTATAGCGACCGTTGTCTCTGTAGTTAATGTATTTTATGTCCATCTGGCATTATGACCGAGTTTGTAATAAGTTGACTGCCAATGCAGTGCTATGACCCGGTTTGAATGAAAGAAAATAATAGAGGGACGTTTTTATTAAAAGTGCGAAAGACAGTGGGGACCGCGGATTGGATAATGGAAGCTTTGATCGCCCCAGTTAGAGGGACTGACGATCTGAAGAAGGTAGCTAAGATAGGCTGGATGCGGAATGCAGAAATTGATTGAAAATAATGATTTTTCTGAATTAATATAATTAATCGTAAAAATCACGATATTTTCTTTTCTTCTTACAGATTGTAGATTGTGTCATTACTTCCTTTCACAAAATCAGAGACTTTTAATACAGTAAAGTCACAATTAGTTTGCGTAAACATTTCACTACTCTTTACTGTCGGAAAACTCTATTAAGGGAGGATACTTTTACGACACCGAGACCTCGGAATATTTAACTAGGGTTGTCAATCCGCAAAGGCTGTTTTAATTTCATATAATATTCAAATTTTGAAATAAAGTGAACGAATTCCAAAATCTTGAAAGGTCGTATATTTTATGATATTCACGTAGAAATTATCTTCTTAAGTACTTTCTACGACTTAATATTGAAGTTATGCAAACATGAACACGTTGAAGTGCTGAATGCGAGGCCAGATTTATGTAAGGATATGAAAATAAAATTATATAAAAATGAATAAAAAAGAAACGGAAAGAAAATAAAATAGATCTTTGGATACTTATTCTTTGATGAACACATTCATATTTCGATGTATCGCATCGACACTGATATTTAGTTACGATATGATATTTAATTTTGTGCAATTATTTGAAGAAATAAATGAGTTAGTAATTACACAAGTGATATTCGTCATTTAATTGGTATTATTATTTAATCAGTCTGTAGATTGAATTGTTCAATTAACAACACGAAATTTACACACAAGCTAGGTTGAAATAAATTTTTGATAACTGTTTGCAGTGAGAAAACGCTTTGAAAATCTGACAGCCCTACGTACCTTTTAGTGACGTAAATAAGATATAATGTCAGGTAACACGATCGCAACTCAATAAAGGTATCAACAAAATTTGTATTCTGAACACTGATTGTGCCTTTATATTTTAAACGAATTGATATCAACTCAAGTAATATCAAAAGGAATGGGAGATTCGGCTGCCCGCCAAGGCTACATACAATTGGAATAAAATTTATGTTATTTTCGCCAACGGTTAGAGATCCTTACAGATGATTGCAAAGCCTGGAAAAGGCTACTAAGTTGAGACAAATTATTATTATAAGACCATTTATGTACACTTGGTTGGCAAATAAAGATTGATTTGATATTTTAAAGTAGACGGGTCACCTGATGGTCATTTGATGACTACCGTCCCCCAAGGACATCTGCAACTCGAGATACAAGTGATTGCCACCCTTTATGCCCACAAAATTAGAGGACAATGGAGGGTTTGGCCTCTGGTAACCACACTGACTCAGTGAAAAGGGGCGAAAGAATTTCTTTAAGGCAGTGGTATGATTTATGTCCCAGTGCCGAAGCTGGCTCTTTCACGGTAAAAGCAATAGAAAGACTGAAACAATATACATAATAAATAAAAAGAATACATAAACTTTAACCTCCAGAATCTTCACCCATTTAGAACTTCATTCGAAAAACTTATTCAGTTGCTTTGCTAACGCCTTTGAAAGTTGTCAATTCTGTGTAGTATTTTTTTCAATAAAGAATACTTATTGACTCATACATTGTATTAAAGTTCTAAAATAGAATGTGAAGTGAAAACTAAATGTTAAAAGGTAGGTAGTGTTCAAAAACCAACAGGATTTTTTCGTAATTTTACGTGTGAAATTTTCCTGTGCGCGCTATCAATAAGGGACGTAACTAGAGTTTAAAAAGTAACTGTATGTTATCGACCATATTGAATGTTTAATCTCGTGTCAATTGTCAGTGGTATAATAGATGTGTTGGGATTGACAGCGTTTTTACGAGTATTTATTCACAAATACAGATACGTAAAGCATTAAAATTGTTATAATGACTGAGTAAAATGTTGAGCTAGACGAGTAGGGATAATAAAAGTTTAAGGGGAAGTTGCTGTATTAATTTTATGTTTATTTTTTCAAATAACTACATTGTTGTTAATTGATACCTTTTATGTATGAATTGCATCCGAAATAAAAACCGTAACTACACATTATTATTAAAATAGACGATTAAATAAAGTTCATTAAAATTCGATAGCTTTTTTTTCATTTACGAAGTTTTTCTGAATAGCTAAATACTTTTTGCGAAATTGGGTTACTGTTGTAGCTCCCTTTCTGTACAAGTAAAATATTAGACGGAACGTACTCGCTTTTTCGCTTTAACCGTGTCTTTTTTGGTTTATACCCTACAACTTTTCTGCAATTTTCAGTGCTGGAGTTTCAAAGCATTCCACTTTAATGCAACATCATTATCAACAGCCTATAATAGTTTACTGCTGAAAATAGATCTCTCCTTAAATATGAGGTTTTGGCCTACTATACCACCCTGGCTACACGTTTGTTAGGTATAGGGCTTGTTTCAAGTTTCCTTCTCTTTGCAGTGAAAAAAAAACAAATTTCTCCATTCGCAGTAATGAATGCACATTGTCAATTTCTATAAAAAAGGAAAATATATGTGTTTAGGAATCACATGGGACTTATTAGAATTATCTGATATGATTTTTCCAAAAGGATTTCGGTATGAAAAAGGGCCGAGTTTATTTTAAATTATTATTATTATTTATTGGCAACTGTTTGCCAGCTAAATTAGTGTATACCTATATTTTTATCAGTTGTAAGTTAACCGTATATGTAGTTTTAATAATGAACTTGCGAAATTGAAACTAAATCGCTCCGGATTTGACCGCAGGTTTTAATTACAGGATTAATGGATAGTAAAGGTTAAGCCGAGGTTTATTTATGACTAATTGTACGTTGTGGTTTTGTCTGATTAAAATTTTGATTGTAAGTAGTAAGTAATATTATTATAACATTTAATTTTCCACATACTGTTGTAGATCACTGTAATTTTCAAACAATAAAATATAAGTTAGTATATTTTACCCCTTATTTGGGCTTTAATACGTAATTGAAATTTTCTATAGCTTTTAATTAAACTGTGTAAGATATTTATAAGATATATCAATGACTTTTGTATCTTTCACACTTTGAAGATTGTTTAGATTGTTAGAGGAACACTTATAATGTACCTTTTTCCTTTTGTAGAACGAACCCTAAAATCTATATTGTTTCGTTCGTTTTTCTGATTGTTATGAAATGTTGCATAGATGTTATCAGGGATAATGAGGCCACCTTTCAGGGAGAAAAAGAGTACAGAAGTACTTACTGTTACCGAGGAACGGAAGTCTCGCAACCAAAGTTTATTGGATAGATTTACACACACATTTGATTTGACATTATACTGTGATGTACCAAGTATCTTTTGACTTGGTATCTTAATTAATTTTGAGTTTCATTAATTAACGTCAATGGCAAATGTCGTTAACTAGGTCAGAAACTTGCCTGTGCCAGTAGGGCATTAAAAACTTATCTCCGCCGATTATTTTCGATTTTTATGTTGCAAAATAATGTCTAGTATAAGAAATTATAAGTATGATAAGAAATGTCTTCCTTGCTTGATGTATATCCTTATTGATCTTGTTAAGCATTTATGAAGGTGGGCGATTTACATTGCCAATTGCGAAAAAGAAACACTTCTGTGGCCCACGCAATGATATTTATATTTATGAAAGCTATATAACATGTCCATTATTACCGAGACTTTACTGAGTGTGATTTTTTTCGAGTACTTTTGTAAATTAAAAGTATTTGACAACTATTTGGTCGGAAACTATAACATTAGTTTCTGGTTACGTATATTTGTAATAATAATAATATATTTATTTATTTCTCCTCACAAATAGTACAGCATTTCAATAACAATCTCCAAATTTACATAAAGTCATGTAATAACTCCTATAATTATATTATAGTTGCCTTCATACATACATTTTTGTGAGAAGCCGGTGTCTAATTTTGGTTAAAAGTAGACTCCTGATTCTGGTGAGGAGAGGGCGGGAATTAAAGTGCGGGGACGTACTGTGACTCTTGACTTCCAGGTATAATAGTTATTGTGTATGTGTTTACTGTATACATTTATATAAGTTTGTACAGTCTTAACTCTTAATTACAAAATACTCAGAAAACTCCGATCTACAAATTACAACTCCCCATCTCATTCCTATTCTCCTTCTCCATCCAGTGATTGCCTGGAAGAGATCGCAAATCTCAATAAGCCTCCAATTGTACAACTTTTAATTTTTCCCTTTCTTTGTTTCATATATATAACTTAAATTTTAAGTCCCCCCCCAAAGTTATAGTAAACTTATTATTATTAGGTTTTTTATTGTACAATAAAGAGTTATCTATCTATCACTTACTATCAGGGGACCCATCTGCCTGTATGCCTCATTGTACCCAAAAAAAATAACTAACTTTTCTGTCAAGAGTAAAAAAAACTATAGATTTTTCATATATTTTGAGCTAGTTATAATAATATAAATATATTTCACCGTGTTACAGACTCGTTGTGTCACAGAACCAGCGAGCACTTCACATAGTTTTCCCACAACATTTCCTAGACTCGCCGGAGTGGTTCGGAGTATCCACGGACGAGTATTTTCAGGTAAGATCTTGGTTTGTTTTATACTTAACGAGTAAGATATATTACTATAACTTTTGTACTCTTTTTATTATATCCCTTAGAGTACTCAGTTCTGGTTACGGTCTTGATATAAGACGTGACGTCTTCTCTTCTGAATAAATCTATAATCTGTGAATCAAATCTGTTTAACATTATTTAAACAGCTACGATCCGCCTCAGATATCCGAGAACCTTCAGCGGCGGAGAAGTAGCATGCGCGCTGAACAATTGTAATACCAATCAAAGAATCAAACTCGACTGCGTAAAATTGTATACTTAATATTTCAATAAATGAACTTACAAGATATATTTTTTTTACAAATCCTCCTTCCAAATTGTATTTAATTGTATAAGTTGTAAATATTTTTAAATTTTGTTATACCCTCTCGCTCAAGCCCATTAGTCCACAGAGAGTGTTAAAAATATACATTCGAAAAACAACCCTTGTTCGACGCAATCGAGTAAATAATAATTTATTTTGATACAGAAATATACTTTTATTAATATACATGTTGCACGTACCGAAAACTGCGATCAAAGTGGAGAGGACTTCGATCAAATGGTTAATTAGATACTAAAATCTAATTAACCATTTTTAAAGCATACTCCAAGCACAGCTGCCTATTTATACCGTTGATGATGTGAGCAGGGTACCGTAATGATGCTATATTTGATACTAACAAAAAAATATATCTCTTCTGATCTTATTAGAATTTCATTATATCGTGAACTTTAAATGTCACCGGAGCTTTACACGTCATGCGTAACATAGAAAAACATCAGAAAACAAGACGAAGTGTGGGGGTGTGGGTGTGATTTTCACCAGACCTCAAATATACATAAATAAGTAGCTACTGAAAGATATTAGTGTAATAAAATTTGAAGTGAATGTATAATAAATTGTTTTAAAAATGAAGAAATATGAGTGCACGGATGGCGTAGTGGTTTAAGCAGTCGCCACGTCGCTTCCTACTACGCTTAGTGATGTGGGTTCGATCCCCACATGGGACGTCTGTTTCTGACGTTCTGAGTCTGGGTGTTCTTTGTGTCCGTTTATGTATGTTTGTAAAGCCATCGCGACAAAGGACTTCTTCCTATTGCGGGAGTTGTCTTTTTAAAAAAAGATAAGAAAAAAAGACTATTTAAGTCCTTAAAGGCAACATTACTTAAAGTTTTGTTGGAAAAATAGTATTTTGGCGTTGTTAGTACATATATAATTTATTATTACATTTAAGGTACCACTGTACATATGGCATGCGACTTTTCTTAGCAGTCTTCATGTATCAGAAAACAACATGCCCTAAAATGAACCATCTTTTTGCCTCTTTTTGATAAATAAGATAATTTTTTTGTTAGTTGATTTGCCTGCTTATAGCGAGTAGCTATAGGCAAGTTATATACTGAACATGTTCTTTTGCTCTAAAACAATTATAAAAAAACGAGTGGAGCAAGTATGTAATATTATAAATTAAGGTTAGTACTATCAATGGAATCTCCCATACTTTGTAAGAGTCTCTTTATGTCGGCATTGAGTTTTTTCGAAATCCGGCTTACCAACATTTACGCGGGTGGGTGTCTCACGGCACCCACTAACTGTGTTTTCATATTATGATACAACTCATGATTTCACTCTCATTGAGGCTTGCATTACCATAATGTGTGTTACGTAATGTACTTTAACTGGGCTAGTTTTGTTCCTGTTCGGTGCACAAGTAAAAGTGAATTTATGATTAATACATTATGTGATAACTGATAATGAGCAGTTAGATAATTTAAATATAAAAGAAGGGTTTTTATCTAAAATGGAGCTTTAATTGGATAAAATTAATGAATGAACTATCAATCTCAGTACTAGTCTCAAACGGTCTAATTGTAGGGAAAACCTTCTATTGGGAGATTAAGTAACTTTAGCTTTAGGTAAAAAAACACAATTATTCGTAATGCAAGAATCGATTCAGCGATCTTCTGCGTTGCAACATCGAAGTCCAAAGCTCTCTTTGATTTGATGTACGTGATGTATTGCAGGTGTCAATTATGGCGATGGAGGAGTCCCGCGTGCTGGTGTGGCACCGGGACAAGCTTAAGCTGAGCATCATGTCGGACTCCTTCCTGCAGGCGGTGTTCGACCACATACTCGGCAGAGACGTTGTGCACAAACTCATGCAGGTACTCACTTTAATTATCTCACTATATTAGTCATTTGACGGGTCTCTTATTCTAGTGGTTAGTGACCTTGACTGCTAAGCCGTAGGGTTGAATTCCCACCCAGGATAAAGAATTGTGTGATGAAGACGATTAGTTGTTCTGTGTTCAGGGTGTAATTTATCTATAAGCGGTTTAAGAGGAATTCCGACATAATTTTTCTTGTGTATTATCTTCGTAAAGTCCGTAAACAAGCTCAGAAAATCTTCCAAATAATACCTCATATAACAACAATCAAACAAAAGAATAACATAATATAATTTTCTAAACTAGCAATCGAATAATGTTAATTTGATTTCTCTTGGACATTCTAGCATGAGACCGTTCTTACTGTAGTCAGCTTTAAAAAAGTTTATTTTTGCTTAAGCGAAAACATTTCTAAAGAAACCTATTCATTGCCCAACCAAACGTATCGTTTTCCGATTTAGCTGAACAATTTGTACCCCTTTTAGCTTTGTCGAGTTCAGTATCCTAAGTATTGTTGGTTTATAAATCTATTTTCGTGACTGGCGTGGATTTTTTGAATTGTTGCGTCTAGAATAGTTGAAATGTCAAAATGTATTTGCCGTTTTTCGTGGGACCAATGGATCAATTTGTTTTGTTTATTATCTGGGCGATAGTTTATAAACCGGAGACTGATGTATGCAAGTTACAGTCTCAAAAATAATGCTGACCAAGCTATTTAGAGAACATAAAGTGGCGAGCAAAGTTTCGATAACTTCTTATATTACTTTAAATGAAGTATACCACATCATTATTAAAATAAGTACTTTTACTTATTGTTTTTAGCAATATTTTTAAGTAACAAGTCTGACTGTCTGGTTTATTCTATTTTGATTTTATCAGCACATGATTCCACATGATAGACTTCCTCGGAGGCGCAGTGGTAGCGTATGCGACTGCTGTGCCGAGGTCTTGGGTTCGATACCCGGGTCGGTCCAAATGTTTGTATGATCTGCAAATATGTGTTTCGGTGTTTGGGTGTTTTCTATGCATAATATTTATATATTTACAAAAAAAGTATACCTATGTATTCTATCAGTCAATCTAGCTTTCATAGTACAAGCTCTGCTTAGTTTGAAATTAGATGGCGTTGTGTGTCAGATGTCCGATTTTTTTATTAAATATGATTCTCTGTCTTTGCCTCTGTCGTAAATTTGAACGAAATTGAAAAACATTTCCAGCAGAGAAGACTACTAATGTGTAAATCGTTTAGAAAATACAAAAGTTTTAAATTAAATGCCAGCAACGCGCTCCTGATTTGACTGTTCAAAAAGTGTACATTGAGCCTTAACGGTGCCGAATAAGGCACCCGAAGGGCAAGCCTGTTTTCAACCCAGCATTTTAAGAATACATCTACTAATCTGTTTTCCTGCCGTAATAATTTCCAGGTTAGCGAAACCATGGCAGTGAGCAACGGCCACCTGCCCAACTGTTACGAGGAGGGAGAGGACAAGCCGATGTTGGTTGTGAAGAAAGCGGGCGACGGGCCCGGCATCACCGCGCTCTTGAACCGACAGCTTCAAGGTATGCACTGTGCTGTGTGATTGTTGAACGTTTTGGACGTTTGGTTTTTGGTAGAACGACCTTTTTAGACTTTTAAACTGTCGCGGTTTATGATCTATAATTATGAATAACGGGGATTAACGCGCTGACGATAGGTATTAAATAAACATACTGCTAGCGATCACCGCTAGTGCAACCTATTCGAAACGTCAGGCAGTTAAAAGGTTTGTACTTAATACCTATCGTGAGCGAGTTAATTCCTGTAATACATAATTCCTATCTCTAGATGTAAGACTCCTTAGTTTCCATAGTTTTATTCGAACCGAGTAAAAATTGTGATTTGTATATTGCTTTCAAAGTTCTATAACTTAACTATAAAATTCTAGCATTCTTCACAATCGTCTTTAGGGCTATATTTTTGTTATCAAAACAAAATTTTCATATTGAACCAGTTTTACCTTTTAATTCTTAAATTGCCCGGTTTACGGCCCCTGTGGGATGAGATTAGAAGGACAGTTGCCAAAACGTGGACGAACATTGGGCCACGGCCCGCCAGTCATCATCCCACCTGCAGTGCTATTCTCTAAGGAAACAACCTTACGTACAGCGCTGCCACAGCGTCGAACTTCGAACTAAGTTCTTTTGAAATTCCACGCTGTGACACCGCTGTAGGGTCTAATTTCAAACGTACGACGTTCAACGTTCAACGCTGTGGCAGCGCTGTATGCTAGGATGTTTCCTTAGCTGGTAGGAGGATACTCCCTTTGTGTTGGTGGAACACAACACCCTTTTCCTCACATTACTGTACAGTACAAAAAGTATTGGAAATCTCTGACTCCTGCGCTAGTAGAACTTAAACTCTATTGCAAGAGTGTTGCCAACATTTACATAATGAGCACAATCCATAATAGTAGATAAAAGACTGTATAAAGTTATAAAACCAAATGTCCAAAATTATCATAGTGTCAAAATCATGCATGTCCATTAATATTATATTAGCTAAGTAATTATTTTGTTATGTACTTTGTTTATTTTATGGAGTCATTACACACTGTCTGAACTAAACACCCCAGGGGATTTACTACAGCCCTCTAAACATAGGAAGGGCAGACAGTGGTCTCCACAAATGAGGTGGCCATCTGTAAGCTGTAGGTTCGCGGGGATAAAAGGGATTTCCTTTTTAGATTACTGGTTCCTTGGCTACTGGTACCCGACACGGCGTGCGGTTTTAGTAGGTTCGAGTCCAACATAACAACTCCGCTGGTGGTCCACTTAGGATTATCCGATTAATTTCTGAACGAACAAACAGAAAAATAAGGGGATTTAATACACATATGTGTGTTTTATTGAAGTGAAAAGGCACTTGCGATATGGTTAGAGAGCTCGAGCTCTCCAAAATATAATAATCCCAATTCGAATCACAGACAGGGCCGCAGCTTATTGCTGGCATTCCTCAATCCATCCTACTTAATTTGAGGTAAAAAAACAGTAAAAAGAGACTAATTTGACGTTATAAATATGTTTTCATAGACCTAGACTCCCAATGAGAAATAACTTTGGATGGTAATAAAATCAGCAATATATTGTTAAAAAAAATCAGTGTTGCCAATACTTACAATTTACAATAAAAAATATTGCGCATCAAATTAGAAATAGAATAAAAGTTTAGGCAGTGACAGTGTGTAATGACCTTTATTTACATGAAAATCTTTGTCGTTAAATGTATTAATTAAATAATACTAAAGCTACTTTAGTATGTCAGCTAGTGCAGTTTTTTTCGCTTGAACATAATTTAATGCTGAGCATGCTCGTATTCTTTATTGACAACAGACATAGCTTAAAACGCGTTTGATATTTTTTCTTTGGCAACATTACATAGCAGACATACTAAAGTATTTATGTTAGCTAATGATTAGGCGTACGTGGAGTCCCTTTAGCTACATAGTGTTGCTAGTTAATAATTCATAATTACACTTTTTTAAGATTTGCACGATGATTATTATTAGTGATTATGTCAGACAGCTTCGCGAGGTAAAATTTTGTGTCTTATTAGAGCATTTAAAATTAAAAGTTTATGTGACGTCATCGTTTGTGTTAAATATACTATTGCTTTAATGCAAGGCTTATTGTAAGGGCTACCAGCATCAAAAATTTTCATAAACACAATAATTTGTTTTGGACATTTTTGATGCCAGTGGACCTTATATAGTTGCGAGTACTCAAAATTTGTTTAATAATAACTGCTCGCTGTGCTGTCCGCGTGTAGATACATAAGGGACTGTGCGTAATGCGTTCGTATGGTGTTGTGGTTGTGCCGTGTCGATGACGTGTGGTGTTGGTGACGTCATCGCGGTGATGTGTCGCGTGCCGGCGTGTGACGTCACAGGCGAGCACGCGCCGCTGCTCCGCGCCGCGCCGCACGCACACAACTGCTGAACGTCGAGAGCGGACCCTCTACCCTTATGCTCCCCTAGTACTTTGCACTTCACGACTATACCGAACTCACCCTCATTTGTTTTGTTAAATACACATTTTTGTTGCTCAGTAAATTTCTTAATAACCGAACGTTCCCATTTGGTATAAAAATTTGGTTATAGAATTCTAAAACGGCCTAACGCACAAAGGTTAATTAATGTAAATTCTTTGAAACCTTTTCGCGGATCTCAAACTCGACTATTTTAATTGCCAAAAAAATTCATAAAAACTTTCGGGTACTTAAATTTCTTGAATGCTTTATTGAATTATAAGGTAGTGTTTGACTTTCGTTCGTTTGGTATACGTAAATATACCAATAGTTTTATAAAAGTCAGTTATATCGTGAAGTGTAAAACAGCCTTATCCAATATTCCTTACTCCCCAATGATTACCATATATTATAGATAAGAAGTGGATGAATTTAGTAACATATGGTTTTTAAAAAGTAAACCACGCTATCCAGTATTTCCACATAACAGATATTTCAGATAACAGTTTACAAAATGTTGGAGTTAGTGTTGCCATTTTAAAATGCCAAAAAATATTCTATGTTTTTTACATGGCAACATTTTTTCAATAATTAAATAAGAATTTACAATTTTTTGATATCATCACTTCTTTTTATAAACTAAAATATTATTTAAAAAGTATTACTATATAGTCCATAACTACATGTATACGTACATATTTACATATATGTAGTATGGTAGTAGTAAGTATGGGTACATAATGGGGTTAATCGGTATAAAAGTATGTATTTTAATATTACACACTTATTTTCAATATTAACCTTTGTTATATATTGCATTCCCCAATAATATAATACATTTACATTTATATTGCGATATTTTATACTTTATAGTCCGAAAACCTGTCGAAATTAAACTATAATTATAACTTTTACAAGTCAAACAAAAGAAAACTAAACTAAACAGAACAAAAAATTTTGTCTTTGCCATTTCATAGATTAGATTTATCGTTTGATGTAGGTCGTTATTTTTTTTTGGGTGGGTTTTATAATTATTATAATAATTTAGAAAAATAATTAAAAAAACCTAATAGTTGTAGCTTTAAATTTAAAGACTTATTGGTCGCTATACGTGTCGGTCGCTATTAGTACTTTATTTTTTTATACTCACGGTAGTTTTTAAGTCACTTCTTTCTTTTTTTTAAAAATATCATGTTCTAAATTGAAAAATATAATTGAAAATAAATGCGAATTTAAATTTAGAACGCTAGAGAGGTACCTCTACTAGTAAGTTTGCCTGTATTATTTGGCGACCATTTTATACCTAATCACATTACCTACCTGTTATATTTTCAGTATTCATATTAGGTTACCTTTTATCGCTTCGATATAAAATAATATTAATAATAGATTAAAAGCGTTAGTTACGAGCTTATTTACATAGCATAAGTACGTATTAGCATGTGTGTATGAGTATTTTGGTACTAGTCTTATATTCATCCCTATCTCTATATAATAATAAGTATATAAGTTATGCATGTTATGGTGAATTGATGTGTCATAGTTATGAACACAATTGTTTTTTAAATATACATATAATCATTAGGGTATTGAAAGAGATGTGTATTAGTCATCACTAATAATTATCACGTCATTTCAGTATAATAATGTGATGGCAACACTAACTATAGATATGTTATAGCTAGATTACTAAACCACTATATGGAGATAGAGTATCTGACATTAGATAAATTCTAGCAATTCTCGTTTTTCCCTTCAGTAGAAAAATAATAGTATTCTATAGAATCTTCTCTTCTGTGGAAAGAGAACAGATGAGTAAAGGTTCAGAAGGCCTAAAACAATCTTACAAATTGAAAAATAAATAAATATATTTTCTTTTATCTTATTTTCATAACAAAGCTTTATTTAAATATTTGCAACCACCAAACACGACTTTTTTGTTTCTTTTACTCTGTATTGGATTAGGCGTTTGTATTCTAACTCACCTGAAAGAAAGTGACGATAGAGATGGTTCATCATACCCAAAAGTAATATATTCACAAACTTGAATGTCTTTGGCGCGTTTACTTTATGACGTACAGATCTGATGTGACATGAGACATCGATATATTTTTATAGGAATATAAAAATTTCATCCTATTTTTTTCATCTTGTTTTTTCCTTCTTGATGATGATGATAATATATCTATTAGATTTTTTTCTCATTTTGATTACACTAAAGTCTGATACCTACTCCTAATACGAGTATTTAATTTAGATTGCTACTCCATCTAATCTAAATACTCGTATTAGAACAACGATAATAAAATTATCGCAACGTGTGACTCACATTATTAGTGACCATTTGACCGAATAAAAACATTGTGTTCATAAAGTTTGACATTAAACAGTATGCTTTAACGACTAGTGTTACCTTTAACTCTTAAGTACATAATATATTAGTATTAGTAAGATATCATACATTGTCACGATATTATCCCGACTCCCGTCCCGTGTCCGAACTCCCCAAAGCATGTTTGGAAGATCGACTGCCAAGGTAATCTATTTTTGTTTTCCATTATTTGTTTTCCACCTTATTTCACAACAATATGTGTCGATAATATATGGCCCTTAGATCAGAACTTTGGTGGAAGAAATTGTCTACATATTAAAAAGACTTCGTACAGTATGACCAGGAAATAGACAATTTTATGTGTACTGCAATCGATATAGTACCTACCTGAAGATTTTTTTGCTTGTGATTTTTTTTGTTTAAACGCGTTTATCTTTAGAACTACTAGTCCGATTTGAATTATTCTTTTTGTACTGGATAAAGTAGTTGTTAAGGAAAGATTGGGTATGTAACATCGGGTTGCGACTCTTAGGAGCGGAGCACTAATCTTAAACGCAAGTGAAATGTAGACCAATTGTTTTGTCCAATTGATCAATTTGCAGTTATATTACAATTACAACTAACTTTACGAGCTTTCTTCTGAAAACTTATAAAAACCCTTTATTTAGATTATTTGGAATAAACGATTTAGTTGCTGAGTAGAAAGTTTTGCGAACTATAAGTTAGATTTGAAAACTTAAAGTGTTTATGCATTTGATATAGCATTCGTTAAAAAAAGGTTATAGATGGATTGCGGGTGAAACCGTTAATAAATAATGTTTACATTGACGAATAGGGAAGAGGTCTGTGTTGCCAGTGTGAGACATTATCATCCTCCTATTATGAACAAAGCAATATTTTCTTGGTTATACTTTACTATACACCTTACTGTACCGTTACTATTTCAATTTCAAAGAAATATATACAATAGACCGAAGAATGGTATTGGAAATTGCAAAAAAAAAGATCTAAAGGCTATGATGTAATTGTCTTAACATTCCCTTTTAATAGTTTTCATCCATTTTCTTCCTCACTCTCTACTCACATATGTCATTTCAAAACTGAACAACACATCGCTCTTTTATTGACAGCTTAAACCACTTTTTCACACAAGAGGGGGAAGAATCCCCTCCAGTTATAATATTTGGGTTTTTAAGCTGTGCAATAATAATATATCACATTTGCTAGTTTACATCCACACAGCCACATTGTCTGCTTGCGAAGTTACGCTTTTATTATGTTCAATATGTTGCCAAACAGTTTTCCATAATTCAAAAACAGTCTGAAATGTACTTTACACACATATAATACAGTTTACAGTTGCGTAACAGTGGCAAGATTCTTTTTTTAAATAATAAAGTCGTTTTCAAATAAACATGCCAGTGGTAAAAAATATTAGGAGTCTAAGTAAATTTCAGACAGAAATATGTGTTTTATATTAAACGGGGATACAATTTTTTATTTGGTTATAATATATTTAACGTGAAGTTGGGGCGGTCGTCGACACGTGCACAACACTGTACCACATGATGTTTGCTTGTGTGAATGTTGGCTAGTGTTGTGAGGTTTCTGGTTGTCAGTTTATACTAACTACTGTCTGCTTTCGACACAAACATTTGCATAGAATAATTGTTAAAACTATGTAAATTTGAGTTAAATAGTATTGTGAAATTTACTTTGAAAGATTTATTTTATTACATGTAGGTATGTTTCCGACATTGGATTTTTCATTGTAAAATCGTAAATGTTTGTTAAAAGTTACGGCTTTATTATCGACCACTAAGCACTTAACACTGTCGAGAGCTATATTTCTGACTAACACTAATTTTATAAACAGCTTTTACATATTCGCAACGCAATGTTAAATTAAGTATAAATTTTATGTTTTAAAATAATGTGTGTTTGAGCGTTTGACGCATTATGTGTAATACGTTTTACGTCATTACGTGATTAGAGTCGAAAATTTAAGTTATCAATTTTCGAATTCATTTTCGACTTCGTTGCTAATATGTAAAAGAAAAAAACGATGAACCCCTCGCAAAGATCTGTTTTAATGAATGAATTATTTTGTTACTCGCCCGCACAGCGACGGACCCGAACGCCTGGCGGCTGGGCCGGATAGAGGAGACGGAGCACGAGACGCCGGTGTGAGGGCGCGCCCTGCACGTGCGCGTGCGCCGCCCGCGCCGCGCCGCGGCTCGCTCCTAGGCAGCGGTGGGTGGCTCCTTGATCGTCGCTCTTTGCGGCCTGGACGACTTTCACTTACGGGTTATAGTCGTAATCTGATCTTAGTGTAAGCGAAGCGCGTAGGTGTCTAGTGAACGCTACGCATATCGACTCTGATCGAGTCGTCGCAATCGAGAACTCGAAGTTGGAAAAGTGATTAGTCTCTCGGCTCGATCGAATCGTGATCGGTTTTACTGCACTCGTGTCGAATTGAAGGACGATAATATTTAAGCGTCACGCCCATTAAAATATTCTATCGGCTCGCTGTCGGTCCCGATGATTCTTTTATTTATTCGGTTTATCATTTCTAGAATTAATTGAAATTTAAAACTTTCTTGTATGCGATGCCAACTTTGCCAATGATTTGTAATTATTTCACAAAAATGCGCTATAATTTTCTATTGTTAATGACAATAATATTAATAATATTCGGCTATTACATATCCACCTCATTACATAAATATAGAAATCACTGACATCCATTCGGTTGTCAGATCTCAAATTATATAAATTTCAAATATACCTACTATAAATACGACTTTTTTATGTACCCTGATTTTACTGATTTCTCAAGAAATATTTAATTAATTATAAACCAAAATATAATATTTTACAAAAACCAATCTAAAATGTTGCCTATAATATGATACTTTACACACCAAGTGTATCAAAATAACTTTTTAATCGATTCGCTGTTCTGTAAATATATTCGATATTAATAAAGATTTAGTTTATCGATGATCTGAAACGAAATAGCACATTGAAGAAGACTAGAAATATTTTGTGTAAAATGTATATGTAAATAGATATATAATATTATAAATTGAATTGATGTGTGACATTGTATGTGTTAGACGAGAAGTTATATTTAAATAAACGTTTTGTGTAAATACATCATAGCGTGTATATTGTATAAAATTGGATAATTGTGTGTACAAAATATGTATCTGTGAACGATTCGTAGGAAATTTAATGACATTTGATAATCTCACAATTCTGATACGTTGTTTCTATGACGTTGGGAGCAAATAAATAGAAAGGGGGGGGGGGGGGGGTTAACACTCATCATTAATTTGTGCTTAAGCACGGGTCTCCCAAGTCAACCGCTGTTGTGTACGAAATAATTACTAGTAAAGAATTGAAACTCATAAATATAGGTAGTTATGACGTATACAGGCGACAGATATCGTAACAATAAATTACAAAATATGTTTTTATTATAATTTATAGGTTATCAAGTGTCATCTAAACGTTATGATTTCTTTTGCCTATTATGTAATTTCTTTTGGAACTGTGGGATTATCAAACCTACTATGGGATTCTTGTAATAATATCTTCAATCATCTATTAAATGATAAAAAAATATTTAATGTAAACTTCACATAATAATGTACCTGATCATAATTTGTTGTAGAGAAACTTGTCCGTTTTTAAGCGAGTTTTTAAAGCCGCTGGAAACGCTGCACAGTTACATTTTATTGTTTGATAATAGTATCAGATTGTGTAAAATAAAAAATGGGCAGCTGCAACTCTTTCAGCGGCTTTAAACAGCTAAGTCAAAAAACAAAACATGCAATACCTGTTACCATAAAAGCAAAACTGATGAAATGTGGCATTCAGCATTTTCGATCTTATTTATTATACAAATAAGTCTGAAAATATTAGAAAAATATTTATAGCATTTAACAGTTTTGCGTTTAAAACGATAGTTATCTTAATCACTAAATATGGAATGACCGTTAACATAATATAATGACGTGAATTATGTATTTATACAAATTGTTGATGATTATCTACGACAATGCACATTATTTTAATCTCTCTGAACCCACAAAATAGTTTTCATAAAACAATAAGTACAGATTAGATGTAATCAAAGTCTCTGTTTGACATGTTGAATATAGTTACTCTGTATTCTTATTTTAAAACAAAAAACTATGTATTCATCTGTGCAAACATTCCATTGAAATTTGAAATTGAATAAAGAACACGACAATATCGAGTCACTTTACAGTTTAAAAGATTGCTGCAAGAGCTCAATTTTTTTTAAACTTTTTATGATGTGAACTCGATCACTTGCAATACTTTTGACACTTTCACTGATTTTATCGTCGGCCAGGCGTGTAAATTATTTTATTTTGGTATGTAATGATAAAATGTCTATGGGCTTGTGGGTGATAAAAAGTCTACTGTCAGGTTAACTTGTGAATTATATTTGCTTGCATTTTGTTTTTTTTTAAATTTCGTATAAAAGAAGAAAGTAAACATTTTGTTTAATTTACCCAATTTGGGCATAGAGCCTTAGCAGAGTTGTCGGAAACTATCTTATTTTAAAACAAACCAGGTAACAAATGTACCAGTACTTATGTGATTATTTGTCATAGTTAGACAGATAAGACGATAGGAAATCAATTCATATCATAATAATTACCACATAATATTTTTATATTTAGATAACAACAAATAAACAATTATTTAAAACTATTGCTAGTGATTGACAACCTTCACATACCTAAGGTGTCCTTTTTTGTGTGCATAAAAGAATGACTTCGGCAGCTGATTGAGTGTGCGTGATTATAAACATTCCAAATTTGAATTGTTGCCATGGGAATTTATCTTTTTAAACTATATTTAGGGGCGAAAGCACTGCCAATGCAATTTGATTGCTTGTTTTGCAGTCACTGCATTATATTTTGTAATTAAGGATCTCATTTTGTTTTGTATAATGATTTTATTTTGTCTTGATATGTGATGAGCACTTTGTTCTTTTATGTGGCAAGACCACTTGTAGGTTGTATCAAGACAAATGTGGATGTTCACGTAACTTGCCTTGCATTGTGTATGTGTATGTTTGAACACTCAATGAGTTAGTATGCCTTAACGAATTGCCATGTGTGATGATTGTGTAATGATAAAAAAAACTGTGTTGTTTGAATAATTGTATTGAAATCATCTTAGTACATGTTGAAACGAATAGAGATTACAGAAATAAAGTAACAAATTGTGTAAAAAATGTTTATTATTATTTTTCTATTCCTGTGTATAATTTTTGGTGATTTATAAACGGAAGTATTGAAATTAATTTCTATAGAAAACCAGTCGATATAAAGGAGTGATTCTTAAATAAATAAAATTAGAATTATCACAAAACTATGAATCATCAAAGGTCATCCTCCCAACTCCATGTTGTTTTATATATCGCCTGTACTGTTTATATTTATTATTCTCGGCTAGAGCTTTTTTCGCTTCTTCATCTTTGATTTCTTTCCATACTTTAAAGTTCTCTTTAATCCAAAGCTCCTCATCTAAAAACTCCTGTTTCTCTTTTTCCTCGATAGCATTAAATTGATGCTGTCCAAGATTCATATACTTTCTAATAAGATACATTTTCTCTTCTTCACCATATGGTTGTTTTAGTATTGTAAACCTCCAAAACCATCTCAGATACCAGTAGATATAATATGCAATAGTGTAGGGTAAAATGATTAACTGCACCCAGAGTATGTCAACTATTTCGGGCTTAGCATAAGCACCTTTGATATCCATATTCTCCTCAATCACCTTTCGTATTAGTCTATCTTGCTCCTCTTTCTGTTCAGCTTTAGACTTTTTAACCTTACTCCGACCCTGTACTTCCTTCATTTCAGCTTTGGCTAATTCAAGAGCCTTATTCCTATACTTTGGCACTGTCATAAAATATTTAATGGCTGTATCGTACTTGGACCATGCGCTATAATACTGGATAATTGATATAATAGATATAGTTACGGCGATGACAATGCGAACATCGACTTTAGGCGCCATACGCCGCCGGTAATATCTGTAGTAGTGAGCATAATACTCTTGTGGATTGTCCAACATGTAGTCATAGTCTGAACGTTCCTCTTCGTCTCTTAGAATTTCATAAGCTGTTGCGATCTCTTTGAACTTTTCTTCTGCCTCTTTTTTTGCTTCGGGACTTCTGTGTAAATCTGGATGGAACCTTTTAGCCAGCTGTCGGTAACTTCTAGCTATCTCATTCTTAGTTGCTTCTCTTGTGACACCTAGTACTTCATAACAGTTTTCTTTACCGCAATAAATACCTTCGAGTAGATGATCGGCTGCAGAGACCACTGCGATTTGCCACGTTACGCAGACAAGAATATAGCACTTGTATTTCACGATCATTTTTATTTTAATAAATACTCTATGTCATAAATGCAACTATTATCATTTACCGACACTGTAAGTAATAATTTTCGATATAATTATTTTAAGACTGCTTTTACAATATTACGGCTGATTGTCAAACTGACAGTAGCGATGAAATCTTGAAATGTCAACGTCACAGCAACGTCAGCTAATTTTATTTCATCTGTTCAGAAACCTTTATTAAATAGAAATGCAAAAGAAAATAACATAAAATAATTATTCATTAGTACATAAACTTGAAATAAAGCAAAATTTACAAATAATAAATATTTTCCAAAACTTTTTTTTTTGAAAGCAAATAACCATAGACAGAAAAATTTACGCAGGGGAATCCAAAATGTCAATGAAGGTATAATTTGTGTGAAATGTCATTTTGTATCATGTGTTTTGTTGTTATGATTGCGAAATAATGACTGAACTCGTGGAAAATGCGTTAAACCGCTTTACGAAAAATATAATTTTCTGTTTAACGGGAGAACAAACCGATGTTAAGGGATTACTAGTGAAAAGACATATTGAAAACTTACAGACACATGGTGACTTTAGTTTTCCCAACTCAGTGAAATCGTGGCATGATTTTGTTATTTGTGATCAAGTTAGTGATAAAGAGAACATTACATTTTTAGAGGCTATAAATAAAAATCCTGAAGATATAGTAGAGGCATCTAAAAATTGGGGTTTACCTGTTTGTAAAGTGAAAGTAGAAAAAGCTAGAATATATTTGTTTTTGCAGAGATCCCTTGCTATTCCTGTAGGTTTATTAGAAGCGTTGAGAAATAATTCGAATATATCACTAAGGATTCTTAGAAAATGTTCTACAGTTCATTTAGATCCACTCTGTGAAGATAATAATGACATAACCTCTTTACGAACAAAGTATGTGAAAAACGTTATTGAAAATATTTGTGCTGTACATAATTTGAACTCGAGTGTATTTGTTACCTGTAAGTCTACAAGTAAAAGAGAGGGATATTCTAGAGTCCTCTGTGGTACAGTTTTGAATGCCAAAACGAGTGCCAAAGAAACCATAATTGTTGCTGATGACTTTATAAGGTAATTGTGATAATTACAATTCATATTATACACATTTATACACTAATTTCTAATTCTTCTTACCTTTTTTAATTATATTTTGAATTAAAAAAATAAAACTAAAAAATGTATCACGTTGCTCAAAATCTACATGTATATGTATTGCATCTGTATCGCTAAGGTGGGAGCCTGGAGATTTGTCACACAGGTTTCGAACCTACTACAAACTCCAGCTCTCACTAAGGTGTCATGTATGTTATTTTTATTATAGTAGCATAACAAACCTATGTACCTATTTACCTTTTTGAGACAAATAAACCTTATTATTATTATTATTATTATTATTATTTATATATTCACGCCTTGTTCCCAGCCGGGGAAGGCAGAAACGATAAATTATACTATTTCACAATCTCCATCTCTCATAGCCCTTCCAGATTATATTCTATATCAATGCACACTTGAAAATATTATACACAGATGAATTATAATGAAGTTTATAAATTTTTTAAACATTCTAAATTACTGGTTATAAGATTTTACAATAAAAAAATGATAATAAAATATTTCTTACAATGTAATTGTCTATTACAAGAAAACTTTTTAATTTTTAGTAAAAGGCAAAATGAAATATCACTTATAGCACAACACAAGTACGGAGTTAGAGTATCAAGAGATTCAAAATGGAAGGAGTTTATAGAACATTTGGGAGAATCGGCTGTGGCATTTGAGTTGTTGCAGACAAAGCCTAGTGGTGCAGTCAAGATTAATTTTGATAACTGTGCTGGTGGTTCCACTAAAGGTAAATAGCCATTTATTACTATAAATATTTATTTCAAAGATTCAAAAATACTTTAATTTTTAAATAATGCAACATTATTATAAAAAGTTTGATCTCCCCAAAGAGTCGCCCAAATAACATTCTTAAAAACTGACTATTGTGTTGACCTAGTGTAATATTTAGTCTGGCATAACCCAATATTAAACTCATTAATTTTGTTACAGGTGCATCTTTTGTATTATACAATTGTGCTCGACTTGAGAGTATTATCCGAACATTTAATGAAAATGTCAGTAAAGGAACATATCCTGCACTGCCTGAATTTAACGATGTTGACTGGTCTTTACTTACGGATGAGGTATTTTTTTATATACAACTTTCTTTTATTATGTACAACAGGTCTAGAGTTCCATTAGGCTTAGAAAGTTCAAATAAAATAGACTTTCAATTTTACAGTCTTAATGTTCATTGTAACATGACTGTGTTACTGGGTTGCCATAGACAAAGTAGTGTTGCAAAAAGTGCATTATTGTTATTATTATTATTACATAGGGATTGATAACTACTCATGTGTGCTTACCCACTTGGTTTATTATACACATAAACTATAAATGAAATATAGGTTAGGTATTTACTTAAAATACTAAGGCGAGAATTATTTGAGTACAAATATAAAGAGAATATGAATTAAATCTTGTGCCTTGATAAATGTTATTTCTTCAAAATCTTTTTTTTTTCATGACAGTGCAAATTTAACTGTTTTTCTATTGTTTCAGGATGAATGGTGTCTTATATTTAAATATATCCTTGGTTTTCCATCCCTCTTGGATAAGTGTTTTGAGATAAAAGATCAATCATGCGAGTTTAGACCACATCACCTGTGCAGTTTCCTGTGCTCCATGGTGAGAGAATTCAGCCAGTACTATAGAAGAGTCCGAATACTAACAGTGAGTAATAATTTTATTACATCAGAAACAATGTTAAGTCATACAATTATTTATGCAATTTTTATCATATCTAATCTGTATCGGTTGAAACTCATGTCTGTTTCTGTTTCCAATTCTTGAAAAATAAAATTGACATATTAAATTGCTTTATATTAATTTTTATTGTAAATAACACAATAAGAAAGATATACATATGACATAATGATGAGTTATTCTAATAAGGTTCCAATCCGAATTAGCATATTTTTCCTCTTTTCAGGAACCCAGAAAACATCTACTTCCAGTAATATTTGCTAGGATCTATATGCTGAAGATACTAAATGATGCACTCAAAACATGTTTAAAGATTTTAAATATTAAAAGTGTTTCTCAAATGTGAATCAAAATCTTTTCTTATTTCAATTTACAATCTTTTTTTTTTCGTCTATTTCAATAATTAAATCGTGCCGGTAAACATTGCGGTTAGTGTGCGGCTCGTAACAAATGTATTTCCTGCGCGATTAATGGGGAACTTTCGTGTTAAAACATGATTTATTATAAACCATCACTAGTGACGTGAGTGCAATGCAGTGCGAAGCCAACATGCATTAGAAATTATTCAAGAAAAAAAAAGTTCCTCAATATCCAACTACACTACAAAGAGCTCATAGAAAAAAAAATGTTTTGTTTGGAAACACAAAGTTCACGTGATTGACCCAGGTATTTTATTGTAGGCATTGCTGCGCTGCGATTGGCTCACGAAGCGGGGCACGAGTGCTGCCGACAAATCACGAACCGCTTTACACGGTCGCGCGTCCCGACTCGCCTAGTGTGTTTTTGACATCGGTAAACGCAGTCGTGAACTTCGGAGCGCTCAGATACTTTTATTTATAGTTTTAATCGAATAAAGTCGCTTTGCGTTTGTGATTACCTGTGCTCAACCGGGATACAATAAATATGAGTATTGCTGCTCTAATCCAAGCTGCTGAATACATCGAAAGGCGCGATAGAGGTGATTTGGATTTTCTTTGTTTGAATTGTCAATCGAGTGCAACTACACGCACACGTCAACATGGCTCCCGTCTATTTTTGCCGTGCTATAATCAGCTGATTTTGACGGAATGGCAGTGTACTTTGTTGCAGAAGCTGAGCACGGATACGCGTCGAGTTTGCCGGTGTACGAAGAGTCGCGCTCCGGCGGCAGACGGCCGAAGACGAAGAAATCGCAGGGCAGCAGGTGAGTGTCCGGCTGGTGTAGTGCTAGTGCAGTGATATGTGATCATAGTGATGCTATACAGCATACGTGGTGTTATAAAGTGTCGGCGTGTCGTACAATAAGTATGTTTTCTGTTCCAGGACGACTCATAACGAGTTGGAAAAGAACAGGTGAGTGTTTTTGTTGTTTACTGATAACGTAATAGCGGGTGTCCCCTGCCCGAGTGTTGAAGTGTTGCGATGTGGCGGTGTTGTGCTCTCGGCGCTGCGGCCGAGTGCCGGGTGCCGGCGCGCGGTGGTTTATCGCGTGGCGCAGTGACCTTGATAGCCGTCTAGTCGCCAAGGGAAAGAGTGCATGATTGTAATGAGACGTGGGGCACACGGGTGGGGCGGATGCCGCTCGTAACCCATTTGGCAGCACTGCATGGCCGGCAGCAGGGCGCTGGCTTGTTACGTCACGATGATGCTGTTCCGTCGTCATCTACCTGTAGGACGCACCGTGTTTATACTCGCTGCGCTCGATTAGTCGACTCGGTGACGAGGAAATTTTACGAAACAAAACCTTGCTATGTGACTGCTTTAGTTTCATAGTTGTTTATTTCGAATTACTACATTATAAGACTGTTATTCACGACTTTAATCTGGTTAAATTACCTTGTGTTTTAAGTAGCGGTTTAAAACATATCTAACTCGGTCATTATTAAGTATATTTGTTATACCTACGCAGTGTTGTTGTAGTGTAAAACCTCTCGTAAAGTTATTAGAGTCTGACTGCTTAAATTTATTCGGAATTTAGGAAACGTCTTTAATTTTGTGATGTTGAAAGTGGTGAAAGTGGTACCAACATCATACAATATTTAACTAATTCAAGGTGCCGTCATGAAGACCTTTATGACTGAGTTAAAAGGTCGCTTCAGTCATTTAATTTGTTATCATAAAGAGAATTAATGGGGCACTGATATCTGATTTATGCTTCGATACAAATAGAAATCGAATTGGAAAATCGTATTTTAATTGGAATGATGTAGTTTGAATGCAAGCCACTAAGTTGTGTATTGCCAGATTATAAAAGTGTTATTTTCGACGAAGGTATTGAATATATAATTTATGAAGTGTTAAGGCTACGATACAACCGGTCGAACTACCTATGCCTGCAATGACAAACAAGCACACGATGTTTAGCATGTTACTAGTTGAAAGCTATGAAAATCTACACTAGTTAATTAGTGTAATTATGTTGATTAGTGAGGTCGATAAAACTTCATTATACCGTTTTTAAAGCCTGAGTTTCTGGAGCAGTTGAAATAGGTACTGGTGATCACTTAACAATGCGTAGGCCGTGTGCGGGCCTACGTGCAAACTTTGTTAAAAAAGAGTTAAGTGTATGACTCAACATCTAATAGTTTAATTTATTCTAGTCAGTGCTTGTTGCGACCACAGAATTTATTGTCAATTTTACTTAAACCGTTAGTACATTGTCGCTTGTAAAATTAGTAATGTTTTTAGGTAAAATTTTGACACAAAATAACTTACGGCGAACAGTTTAGAGCTGCATTGAGAGTTTAAGAGTTGAGTTTGCATTGATATGCCTTTAGCAAATTTTTATTCACGCCTGTTCTCCTTCTTATACGTACTTATAGATGGGTACATAATTTTAGTCTCCCATAGCATGAAGTAAACCTATTGACATTTAGCGGTAATGTTTTCAAACGCCGTGCTTGTTATGAATTGAGAAATTGTTTGCAACGAAACGTAGTTTTTTTAGGGTTCCGTAGGAAAAAATGGAACTCTTGTAGGATCGCTTTGTTGCCCGTTTGTCTGTCAAGACCCTTTATCTCCGGAACGCGTGAAGGTGAAACAGGTTATCGTTTGCGGTATTTCCAGACCGATACGACCTTGAAACTAAAAGGCCGGCAACGACTCCCGAGTTGCAGACGTTTATGAGCGGCGATGGTCAATTTCCATCAGGTGACCCGTCTGCTCGTCTGACCCCTCTTTGCTTAAAAAAAGGTATTGAGTTAAAATAAAAACCATACACTCAGGTCTACAACCCCTTGGAACTGTGAAAAAATGAAACTTCTAAGTTAACGTGAAAAAAAGATAGATACGACAATTTCGACACACTCAAGGGAATCAAAATCAATAGGGCGCTTCCGGTTGATCTACGACTATTGAATTTGGCAAGTAACATCGTCTATTACTAAGAGTACAGATAAAAGTCTGAAAACCATACATTTGGAATTAAATCATAAAAAATATAGTCTTTATTTAAAGTACGTAATCAATCATCGAAGTGCAATTTCATTTATAAAACACAATAATATTAGTAATTATAGGTTTGAGAAAATGAATTTCGGAAAAAGCTCGGCAAAAACTGCGAGACTCGATTCCTGAACTATTTATAATATAAACCTAGATGTTTGTATGGAACCCTCAGGGGGATGAGTCCGATTCGCACTTGTCCGGATTTTTTAATCGGTAAAGTAGTTTTTAAAATTTTGCTGTCAGTGGACCGACGATAAAGACCACGTGGTTGATTGACAGTAAACCCGAAGTAGTCGATTATAAATAAAATAGCTATATATTGTAACTGTAGCATCTTGGGTGGTTGACGACTGCGCAGTGCGTCACTATTTGAAGGCTTGTTGTAATTGCTATAACAAACAGGGGTATTGTTATTGCCGCTTAATGATAACGGTTAGTTGCAAAACGCGTTTTCCTATTTATCGATGTAATAGCTAGTTATTCGTTTTAAAAAAAAAGTTGAACCGACTTCAAACAATACCAACAAAGAGCTCGAAAAACCTAGCAGCAATCGTGGTTTTTTGAAGAGTTCCGTTGTCTGTCTCCGAAACTGATCATCAGATCTATATGAAATTTAAATGGGATCATTTCGGAAAAAAACCCTTTATAACAAAAAAGAATTAAAAGAATCCGTCTTTATATGACGGAGTTATGAGCGAACATATGTACATAAAAAATATATATAAACATCCGAATGATAGCCTCCTCCTTTTCGAAGTCGGCTAAAAATAGGATTTTGTTAATGCAAAACTAACCTTTTAATGATATGATTGCAATATAATGGTAATTTTCTCTTTTTATCTCTCATCGTAATAATCTTTGTTAGGTACCCATTAGCGCTAATTCCTAATCGATCATTCTTGACTCGTGCAGAGGTATTTGTTTTCCTACAATTGTAAATTTGATTCTTTTAGTTATAATTATTTACCTGCTGTACATATAAAATAATTGTTACATTGTTTTCGTACTTTGGCCTATGCACAACAGAACACACGATATCGCTAACATGCTAATATACCTCTAGGTCGCACTATAGTTCAGTGATACCTAGAAGAACTTAAAGGCACATGTTTTTTCTGAAACCGCATCGACTTGACTTCTGATTTTTCCGAACACTAAATCGGGACCCTGTAGTGATGATTTTAGGAACAAAATATCTTGAAACAATTTGAGAAATACATTTGTTTTTAAATTAATTCAAGGTTTTTTAAACTCGATGTGCTTATTAATTCTGTTTGATTGTTGTTGAATCCAATGACACCTCATATTTAATATGTGAGTGTCCGTTAAACTGTTTAAACTGTAAAACTTAAGAAGTAGAATTTTCTGCATTCTCTATCGCATATTCCATGGAGAGTGCTCCGAGGAATTGTTCGGACTAATACCAGCCGCAACTTTCCGCCATCGTTCCACACGGCAAAATTTTCATCCTCATCACCTGGATACTTGGCGCTCCACTATTGTGTGCTTTTGAAGACACTTTTTGCCTCGCACAACCAATCTGTGGAACGGGTTACCGTCCGCGGTATTTCCGGACCGATACGACCTTCAAACCTTTAACTTCAACTCCTGAGTTGCAGACCTTCATGGGCGGCGATGGTCACTTTCCATCAGGTGACCCGTCTGCTCGTCTGCCCCCTCTGACATAAAAAAAAGTTGACATGTACAGATTAATAGACATTCCCCCTTTTAACTAGTATGGAAAAATATATGATTTCTGTTCCATTATTCTCTAAGACAGCAACAAAAAATAAGAATAATGTAATTTGGAAAAGTATTAAAAAAAGAAAAAAACTACTTTTTTTTTTCATTTTTATACGTGTTAGTATTAACGCGCCTCTAATAGGCGGCTAAGTCTATCTTAGGGAGTTCGTCTCTAGG